GGTTTCTGCTAAGCTGATTTACTTAAAATAAGAAAGCAAATGGACTTTTTTTCTGAGAAAATGAAGTTCTAATGACTTCACTGAAACTCAGTGGATAAGGGTAGCCTTTGTTTTGCACTCTACGGTCAATATCAAAGTGGAGTTCCTTGGCCTCTACCAGAAAGGCAGTGCATCTTATCAGTCCTGTCGTTGCATCATGTATTCAGAAAAAGATTGCTGAGACTTGAAGATTTTGAGCAATGTTAACAAAAGTGTTAGACAGCTTTGCAGGAATCAGCCCCCTGTTAAGAGAGATGACTTAGCTCTGCATAGTATCAAATCAGTGAACAAACTACTTATTAATCTATACAGCCATTTGCTTAGATCCTTAGTAACAGACATATTTTTGTGCTTCATATCTTCTTTAGATTTACACCTGCCAGTTTTTTTCTCTGCTAATTTTGTGGTGTAATGTAGAACTAAGTGCAGTAATTGATATTAGAAATTAGGTACCGTTTCTAATTTAATCCGTGAAATTTCTTAGAACCAGAATTGTGTTCTCAGTTTCTTTTAATACAGATTTTGTTTTTCAGGCAGTCACTCAGGCTTATGTATTCCCTTATTTTTTGTTTGGTTGTCTTATTTCTTAGTGTTCCTACTTCCATTTTTAATGAAATAAAGTATTCATATGTAGATCTCAACTAATTTGAACACAATAAGATGTGCAGGTATAGTTTTCTCTGCTATAGAGAAAAGAAAGCAGATAAATGTGTGCATCAAACTGTTAGAACTGCAGTCTTCAGTCTGTATTTTTAAATTAGATCTTACTGCTTTAGATTTTTTTTTTTTACATAGCAAGCCTATCTCTGCAACTCTTCCAATAATACTGAAAATGGCGTGATAAATTAAACTTTATTTACTCTTGTGTAATGGTTGCTTAAGCTCTGGACAGGCTAGGTGATGTATGGCCTACAGGTGTATATGGGTTGCGGAGACAGAAATTGATGTCCATAGTGACTGGCAAGAAGTTACAGAAGCATGAGAAGGGACTGCCAGTACCTTCCTGAGGGTAAGCAGGATGTTAACTTTGCAGTTTGCGTTAGAACATCTGTTGGCTGCCTACTTATTAAAAAAAAAAAAAAAAACAAACCCTAGTCTGTAAAGAAAGCACAGCCTGTACTTTGAATATTGTTAACTACTGGGCCAAATAATTCATCTGGCCTCTGTGAAAGATACAAGTTGTGACTTAAAAGAAAAAAAAAAAAGAGTGAGTGTGTGAGAGCATGAAAGAAAAAAGGAAGGAAGGAAAGGAGTAAGGGAAGAAGAATGAAACACTGGAAAATAATAGGCCCCTCTGGTTGTAGATATGTAGAAATATCTGTATTCCTTTTCTCAAGGTTTTCAAGAAATTGTGGTTCTTGGATTTCCCAGTGGCTGTTGTTACAAAGCATCTTTCCCTTGTGCCATTGGCTCTGTTAATAGCATCATCCCTGACTGTTTCTTGTATTTGTTATGAAAATGTTTCTAGGGGCAAATTCTGGAACCAGGCACATATATGCTTTACAACAGGGAACAAGGATTGAAGGAAACACTTGTTTTCTTCCACAGAAAGGAAGGAAAACTTTCCCAGTGTTCAGTGTTGTGTAGAATGCAGGGGCTTTTACATGTTGAATGTATAGTTGGCGTAGGTAGCTGTACACGTCCTGAATCTATCTGTATTTTCCCTATGATTGTGTAAGAATTATCAGAATAATAGAAATTACAGAACTGTTAACTGGGAGAGACCTCTGGAGGTTACCTAGTCCTTCTGCTCCTAGCAGGACTGTTGCCAGCACTAGATCAGGTCAGCTGTACCTTTGCCTAGCTGCATCTTCAAAACTCTGCCCCTCCCTTTCCTGTTCTGCACTACTCTTCTGATAGAGAAGTTTTTCTTAACATCCTGTGAACCTCCAAATGTGCAGCTTGTGGCTGTTTCCTCTTATTTTACCATGTGCTGCTACTTAGCATTTGGCTTCATCGTCTTTTAAATCCCCATTCAAGTAGTTCTAGTCTTCAGTTGGCCTCCTCTTTGATGGGGAGATCTTTCCTTCACTGGAGTCTGTGCTTTCTCAACACCCTTTTTGAACTAAGAGACTCAAAACTGTAGCAGTGTTGCAGCCTCACAGCACTGCATAATAATTTCCCTCTATCTGCTCACCATGCTGTTCCTAATACAGCCCAGTATGGAATTTGTCTGATTTATAATGAGCGCATATTTAACTTGGTGCCCACTGTGACTTCCAGGTCCTTTCTCAGACCATGTTAATGTGGGATTATTTAAGCCATGGTGAAGAACTTTATGTTTTTGTTGAGATTCATGTGGCTTCTCTTGGTCTAGCTGTCAAGGTTTCGTATGGTCCATCTGCTAAGCAACACACACTGACCTTAAGCCCACGGTTGGATTTAAAAAATGAGCTTGTCTTAGATCCCATATTGTTTGAATAGAATGTTTGCAGTGCTGTTGAGGAAATAAGAAACAGTCCAGGTTCCATAAAAGGGAAATAAAATAAATAGGAACAAGACCAGTATTATTTTAAAAGACAGATGCTAAGTGATAGGTTAGAGTTGTTAGATTTGAACTGTCACATTAAAATGAACTGCAAGGCTATGTGACCATTAAGCAAGTTACACTGGGACTAGGGCTGGTGCCTAACCCAAATAGCAGAAGAGCATTAGAACATTCTTTGAAGGGGAGCAGTGAAGGGTAAAGATGCTTTTTAGGATGGAATCTGGTACATTGATGGGTGGAACTAATTTACATATTTGCGTGTAATAACACGACACTGGACATGATGACGCAAGAGGTAATCTTTGGCCTAGAAGGTCCCATCCAGTCCTGTGTCCTGTTCCCTTTATGTAAAGAAGCTGTTGAAATTTTGCACAAATAAAACCTCCTATCTCTTTTGTCTCACCTTTTCTTTTACTACTATGATTTTGATATATATTTTGCCCATAGCAAATGCCAACCATAATATTTTTGTCTTCCTTATGATGTCTTACATTATTTATCTTTCTATATCCAAGCTGCAGACTTGGTTATATGCAGGGAGACAGAAATAGCTGCTATTGTGAAATGTGTACATGGTAGGATTTGCTTGAATTTAAGGATTTTTGCAGTATGTTTCTCAGGAAGGCGGATAATGCATATTATTGTAACCTCTGTGGTGCTCTCTAGCCAAAGAAATCTGATGGCTTTTGGTGCACAAAACATTCACGTTCCTTCTGTGAGGCCACTTCACTCTTGTTATCCAGTAATTGTTCCAGTTTATTGGTGATACATTAAATGGAAGGGGCAATTTTGAAATAAGTATTAGGGAAAAAATCTGGAGAAGGGAGTGAGGGGAAGGAGGATGTCTTATCAGTTTCACTGGGCTGGAAGATCTCATGCAAAATATAATGCAGCTGAGGAGAAGCTGCCTTGGGTGAAGCTTTACAGTGTTCATGGAGTGTACTCAAAGCAGAGGAAAAGGGCAGGAATATGGGAATGAGCTGAGCAGAGAATGAGTTCCAGGAATCCTTGATTTGCACTAGCAGAAAGCCTTACCTCTGATAGTGATCCCAGGGTGCTGCTTGTTGGAGATGAAGACCCGGAGAGGAGTATGTAGTTTATTGATAAGCCTCTACATTTATTGAGTCACCAGCGTCGGATTTATAAATGCATATATCCCATCCTATACTTAACCAACCCTAAATGGCCTTTTGACAGGGAAAAGAAACCCATTCTCCCAAATTAAAGACTGCACATGAAAATATAAAGATCTTTGTTTAAATTGCAAACAATCAATGCTTGTTTTTTATTTGGTTGTATATGAAAGTGTCAAGCTGTGTAACAAATAACAAATACATAGTTTCATGTATAATGTCTGTGCAATATTTGAGTATGATAGTAGAAGATTGTAATCCTTAATGAGCAGTCCATATAATTAACACTGTGTGCGATAAGTGAACAAAATCACATGCTCCAGAACAAGTTTAAAAAAATGAATAATTCTCTTTGTGTCTTTTATTCTTGGTGATAATATTTGCATGGCAACAGATAACTAAACAAAGTATTATAGAAAGTGCTGAAATGATTTCTGAAGGTAAAAAGAACAAATGTGTTAACTGATCTGTTTTGATTGCAATGACTTTTACAATTTATCCAAATTAAATATGCTATTACTAATTGAAAGAAGTCACAAAAATATATTATCCAATTAGCTAGGAAAACAGATTCAATGTATAACTGTTTAAAATAAGAATTTTTGTAAAATGAAGAAACTAATAATGTTTAAAGAAAAAAGCATTGAAACAAATCTGAAGTTGGAGCTTCAATGATGCAAGGTGGTGATAAATACTAACTTAAAATTTCTTCAAGCTTATTGGGGTTATTTGAAGAAATTCTGGCGATTTGGAAGGAAGAATAAGTCAAAGTAAACTTTCATGTTGAAATGAAAAAATTGCACGACAGTGTAAAATTAAATGAAGACACTCTTAAATAGCTTATAACTTTTTGAATCTCCTTAGTATGGCATAACACTGTCTCAACTCCCTTATTAGGTAGAACTCTGTGGGTCCTAATTAAATAAAGGCTGATGTAATGAATAGTGAAAGTAAGTATAACACTCCATGCCTTTTAAGGATATTTCCACGGCCCTGTTCTGCAGCATTTTCTAGTTTTAATGAATGCAAAGAATCATATTGACCTGGATGGGACTATTTGCTTAAGCAAAGGTATGGTATACTTCCATGTTTGCAGAAACAGAGCCTTTTTCTCTCACAGATCGTGAAAACAGGAAAATCTCTTGCAATTATGTAATTATAACCTTGTCAGCACAGCTATCATTAAGTGCTATGCAATTAAAACCTGTAAAATAAACTGCCATGAAATATTGTTTCTCCTTAGTCCTGATCAATATAACTTACCCAATTACTGCAAATTCTAACTAGTAAAAGAGCTGTTAAATTACGTTGTCTTTAATTGTACTTTTTTTGTCTTACAGGAAAAAGTAGAATATGCCTTCCTGATAATTTTTACAGTTGAAACGTTTTTGAAGATTATAGCATATGGATTATTATTACACCCCAATGCGTATGTTAGAAATGGATGGAATTTATTGGATTTTGTAATAGTAGTAGTAGGGTAAGTAACTTATTCTTCATTATACAGAGATTTAAAATCTTTACAATGAGGTAAATATAGGTCTGTTTGGCTGTGAGTAATGGCCTATGCTTGATTTCTATTCCTTTGGAGTAAAAGAATGAACTGATACGAGTGAAAAATTCAAAACAAAGTCCTAAAAAGTTTTCAGTGCTATCTGTGGCTGCAGGCTATGTTGCCCAATCAGTTGCACAATCAGGTTGTTGTCTTGCAGAATCTTTTCCATCTGATTTTTTCCAAGGTGAACTCCTGATGTCTTTCACGAGATAAAGGTTGATCTGTTTATGTCCATATGTTATGTCATTTATTCATTTGTCTCTATACTGTGGTTATGTGGGGTTCATCTATTCTACAGATAACTCTGGGAGAACCCATGTGTTTCGAAGTGGAGGAGAGTGGTTAGAGGAGACAGAGTTAACTGAATGATTCCTTGACCTACCCAAAATCTGAGGAAAATTGGACACTTAAGTACTTTCCTTTGGGGTGCTGTGCATCAGGCCCCAGATATATTTTGGCTTGCCTGGGGGAGAATATATGCTAAAATATTTGTTTTTGTTTTTGTTTTTTGTTTTTTTTTTGTTTTTTTTTTGTTTTTTCCTTTTCTCTTCTTTTCCCCTGTGTGCCTTGCTGTACCAGGAAACCCTGGACGGTTTCTTCTGCTCCTCAGAGGAGGGACTGCTCAGACCTTATGCAGGTTACAGAAGAGTGGAGAGTGAAACATCCTACATTTACATTATGCAACTGCTTATGATAAATAATGCATCTGGCTTTTTTGTTGGAAAGTTCATGTCAATGGCTGTGCTAGATCCTACCTTCATCTATCTAGGGAATTAATCTTGAGGCATATATTCCCCAATTTCCTAAACATGGAGGAGATTATATTGAATAAAAAGGAGTTTCCAGTACTGTAAATTTTGTTTACTGAAAACATTTATTGATATAGCACATGGAGAACATTACCCACCTATAACTATGTATGTTGTGGCTGGCTTGCAAAGAAGATCTTGGCATGCAGTGTGCAATTCTAATTTCATTTTTAACTTCAAACTATAGCAAGGGTTGCCTGTAATTGAAAAGGCCCAGAAATTGTGTGCTGCTCTTAATTCACATTATTACGTTAAGGGAAAGAAAAAGATGTAAAGAAATTTGTGGTAAAGCATTATTAACTTTGGGCAAGTATTATGAATATATGAATACCGAATTTATAACTGTTTGATTCTGAGACAGCAAATGTTACTGAGAAGATTGTATTTGGGCCAGTTGCTTAGCATTCAGGAAGTTTCAGTCCAGGACTAAAATTTGAATATAAATAGAACCTTCATCAGGTCAGGTCATTCTCAACAGATTGGCCCCTGTGCCTGAAGGGGAAGCTTGGTGGGCAGGTGTGGAGACTATCACACGTAAGAGCTCTATTCTCTTGCCAGGCAGTCACTTGAATAGACCTCTTCCTTCTTGTGAAGTGACCATGGAGTTACAGTAACCCTGGAGCAGTCTAATTTACATGACCTCTATCTTTGGCTGTGTCCTAAATACATGATAACTAAAAAATTTTCCATTAACTTATAAAACACTCATTATTGGAGGCTAAATCTAGCCTCCAAAGCAAATGTTCACACTGAATCCAAGGAAAATATGAGGAAAAACAGGACTACATCTTATGAAATACCTAAAATATCACACTAATATTTAAATCCTAGCTCAAACCCCAAAGTTTTGGAATATTAGCTATTGTGTAGGTTGCCATCAGTCTACCTGGAAGACAAGGTAGATCCTTCATAACACATCAGGCACTGAAAAAATTCTGAGCAATATTTTTGTTCTTGCAGTCTGTGAGCAATGTTTTTGTTTCTTCTTTTAAGGAAAATACAATCCACATAAGCAAGTAAGCAAGCATGAGTCCATTTATTTAACTAGTACTTAAAAGCCCAGTGAAAAATTGATTTTCATATGTAACTCAAGGTGGATATGGAATCACTTCTGGATCTGATTTTTGACTAGTTTCATTGTGAAATTCCATTATATTTTTTAATAGCTTTGAAAGAGCTGCCATAATGTCCTATATTGGATGTATTAGATGAAATTTGCTTCATGTGCTTTCTCAGCAGAAACTGTAGCAGTCCAAATGCATATATCTTAGTTATATCAAAAGAAATCTCTACTAGCAAAAGGAAAGCATGCATAGAGACTTTTTTTCTACAACATCAGATATGGCATTTAAACTTTGGTAAACTGTACAGGAAAAGAAATGTAATTTTAAAAAGTAATAAAGGAGATCAGTGGTTTTATACCTAAATGGCTTTATAGGATGGACGTAAAATGACAGAGCTGTAGACATAGCTGTGAATGTGATGTTTTCTCCCATCTTTCTCACTTCTATCTGAAATCAGTGAGAGTACGAATTACTTTCAGAGCAGTCTACTACTTGCCTGCATGCTATGCCATGTAATTTCCATAGATTTTTGTGAAAGAATAAGGTCCTCTTAGAGAAAGATTTCATAGCACCTTCCTATGCCTGTAGCCCTTTAATTTTCTGAATGATGTATGGACTGACAGACTGAAAACAGCTTCTCTTAATTCAGGACTTGATTCAGAAGGCTGTTTAATCATGTCTGCCTTTAGAGCACGAATAGTCACTCTGAAATCATGGAGATGGCTCATTTTCTTAGAATTATGCTTCTATTAAATTATAGGGCTGAATCAGGAGCTGAAAAATTAAATGTCTGGATTTCTGTGGGTATAGAGGTATGTAGGTTGCTGGTGTTCATTCTGAGATCTGTAGTCTCCGTGCCTGGGTTTCACTCTGGAAGGGAATGAAGCAGAATAGGGATGTGTGTTTACTGATACAGGTCAGTTGCTTACTGTGGGAAGAGAAGAAAGTCTTCAATATTCTAGTTTGAGCAACCTATTTAAATATTACGTGATTTCTAGCAACTATTCAGCATGACAGAGTTGTGAACCAGAGTTGTGAAGACTTCTTGACAAAACCAAAAACCTGTACATTTCAGGAGTCCTTTACAAGCGTGAAATGTTTTTCAGGATTACAAAACTTTATTGACTTGATAATCCTTCCAGGAGAAGTTCAGTTTTGCAACTACTGAACTACAGACTCTGTGCAAAGGATAACATGGTTTGCACGGTCTAGCCACAGTCTAGAAAGCCATGCATCTGAAATGCAGGCTCAAACTAAAATAAACCTAAGACTACTTTGCACTTCAACCACTTGCATCACTTGGAATTGCTGCTAGAAGTGGGAAAGAAAAATAAACCTCTTGTCTTCCAAACTGTTCTAATGAATGACTAGCTCATTTCTGCAGTGAAGAAATACAGTATAATAAATGAATCATCTGGGAATACTGTTATCCTCAAAGATATTATGTGCAAGAAACAAATGGTTTTGGTGTTATTAAATGTTGGACTGTAATTATTTTTCATATAGTCATTTTTTGCTGACTGTATTTAGAATATTGAACTGTCGTGTCACTTGGAGTTCATATATTCCACCAAAATTAAAACAGATCGTTTCTTATGATTATCTATTTTATCTTCTAAAGAAAAGACTAATTCTCCAAACCTTACACCTAGAACACTTGAACAAAGAAGCAGCAAAGTAGCTTCATTTATTTAAAAATAGCAAGTTGTGTCTACAAGCAGAATGCTAATTTATTGGATACTGTGTGATCATCCCTCTCTGGAGGGATTAGAAACTCTTTCACTTCACAACTCTTCCTGTCATGATTTGCTGTGTAAATATACCTCTCATTTTGACAGCTGAACAGCTTTTCAGAATTATCTGCAGTTCATGTAATTTCTTAATACCTTTGATTGCATGGTAAATGGATGGTGATGACCTTACCCTTCATCTCGTTTTCTAGATTATTTAGTGTAATATTGGAACAATTAACCAAAGAAACAGAAGGTGGCAGCCACTCAGGTGGCAAACCTGGTGGCTTTGATGTCAAAGCCCTAAGAGCCTTTCGTGTATTGCGACCTCTCCGGCTTGTATCAGGAGTGCCCAGTAAGCTCTTTTCTATTTAATTCCATTGGAATGAATACTGTAACTGATCTGATTATTTAACTTTCTTGTTCCAGACACTAACAGAACTGAGATAATATAAATTTGATTTTTTGTCATCTGGTTATGTATATAAAGTGAGTTTCAAGATGAATGATACCCTATTTCAAATTGAACAAAGGGTTGTGAATTCATTCAGTGTATGATTTTCTTACACAGTTCAATAAGCAGACAGGGGAATACACTTCTTTTTTTTTAGAAGCTTTATTGAATTACATGTTAAAATGCAAATACACCAGGAAAAAAAAAAAACAGATTTTTTTTTTTTTTTATTCCAAAACCCTGCAGATCTGAAAGTGTAGGTGGTCTTAAGATAGTTTATATGTTGGTAAGTGTATGCCAAAGCACATTACACGTTTCATATTTCATGCCCCCTCCAATGCACATGAATGCCTTCTGTTTATCTCAGTAGAGTTAACAGATAAAGGATAGGAAGCTTAAAAAGTACAACAATTTTATTTAAAGAAAGCAATTGAATTTTCTGATAAACTTTCATGGTTTCTTTTAATACCTTATTAATTAATAAAGCTATTTGGGCTGAGTAAGAGGTTTGTGGCTTGCAATTCAGCTCTTTCCAAGGTATTCAAAAAAAGGATCTTAATGCTGTGTTTATTATATCATAGTCTGTTACATGGAAGTGATCGTGACAGTATATATTTAGCAAAGGAACTCCAGTGAAGAAAGAAGCAGTCTTATGAAATGTCAGAAAGGAAGTCTATTAAAATAAAAATGAGCCATATTTTGTTCTCATTGGCACTGTGGCAGCTTCATTTTTCTGGGATTTACTTCTTTTGGTAATGCCAAAATTTGGCTAAATATTTAATTAAGGAAAAAGAAAATTGAAATAGTTCTGAAAACCCATGTGAAGGATAAATGAACAAAAAGTAAGTTTGTTTGGAGTAAAAATGTTTTTTCATGGGTGACTATACTCTCTTTATCTCTCCAGATCAAAAATACAGTTCTGCAATTGGCTGAGTATAAGTTTTTCTCAGGACTTGCTGCAAAGTTGTGGTTGTTGCACAGAACTTTTTAAAGGTCGTATAAAATGACCTACAGCCACACACTGACTACATGCCCTTTCTTTCTAAAAAACCATAAAATCTTGTGACACATTTCAAGCATTGACCTCTATGGCTCATCCATTATTAACAGAGGAAATAATTAGACTTTGTCACAAAGCTTTAGATTCTTAGGAAGTATTTTATGTTACAGGAACATTTTGTGGCTCTGAGCAGTAGAATTTTTTTTTTTAAAACTGATTCAGTCTGCATGCCTGTATCATTAATTTCTAATAATGTGTTGTTAGAGAAAATTTGGTAAGGCAAGATGGCAAGATGTAGAAGTCTGGTTCATATCTTGTATCTTCTTTTTTCCATTTAGGTTTACAAGTTGTCCTGAACTCCATTATAAAAGCCATGGTCCCCCTCCTCCATATTGCCCTTTTGGTATTATTTGTAATCATAATCTATGCTATTATAGGATTGGAACTTTTTATTGGAAAAATGCACAAATCTTGTTTTCTTATTGATTCAGGTAAGTCATGAAACTCTTGACTGAAATAAGGGATTAATTATGTTTTCTTTCAAGTTTGTGGGATTTCAGTTTGAAATAAAATAGGGGCCAAAGCACTAAAACTGTTGTAACCCCAGTTTTCACTGTGGTTCATAATTTTAGGAAGAGTGCATTGCATTTAAAAAACAGCAACAACAATGCAAACTAGTTAGAGACTAGAACATTCTTTGAATAAGTTTTCATTTCTGAAATGTGTAACTGAAATGTCAGTAGTGAAAATAGTAAGGGTGACTATCCATGAGGGACAACTCAGTAGTTTTTTTTCTAATCTGATTACTGAAGAGCTAGCTAGTCCTATTCCAGGGAAGATACACTTTCCTGAGTTCACAATCTGGCAGTGTCTCTCCTCCAAGATTGTGGCAATGTGATAAGAAGTGCAGTTCTGAAATGAGTAATGAAAGAAACCAGTGTTCCTCCATCCAGGTGAAATGCTGAAATGAAAGCATTTGCTAGGGGAGAAATCTGAAGGAGTTAAACATCATGAGGGAGTATCTGATGGCTAAGGGTACATTTCTATCAGCTAAGTAATGAAGTAGACTATATGTAGGAATTATTCCAGACCTGCTTCCTTGGTGGTCCATATGTTAGTATGAAGTGGCATGAAGTGAAGAAACAGCAATGAAGAGGAAAAAAAAAAAATGAGCATAGGGGGATTCTAAAAAGATATGTTGTATTATTACATGCTTCTTTCCACTGCTTAATTACTTGAGCTCTCTTATAAATTCAGTTTTGATTAGCCTATTTTAAGGCTGTAAGGCCCAGGTGTGAGAAGACACTAAAAGCTCCGAAGCTCTCACGGGCTGCCTTTCTCAGGTTGATATCTGGATTTACCTTCCAACAGATCGATTTCTTCATGCAAAGAGTTAACCCATGAAAATTTGAGAACTGAAAGTTCTGATTTTTTTTGTTCCATTTTCAGATATACTAGTTGAAGAAGATCCAGCACCTTGTGCATTCTCAGGGAATGGACGTCAGTGTGTCATGAATGGCACTGAATGTAAGGGCGGATGGGTTGGACCAAATGGAGGCATAACCAACTTTGATAATTTTGCGTTTGCAATGTTGACTGTGTTCCAGTGTATAACCATGGAAGGATGGACTGATGTGTTATACTGGGTAAGTTCATAAATCACTGAGCTTTTTTTACTTTTAAACAAGTTTCAATGTTCCAGTGAGAAATAAGCTGTGTTTTACAATGCCAACAGCAGGAAGTCCTGGTGAGTTTTGCAGGAGACGAGCTCAGCTGCATACTTTTTCCAGTCACAGCATCTTACTGGACTCCTCAGGCTAAAAAGACATTTTAGAAACAAATTTGTTCATTGCTTATTTGAGGGTTTTTTGCCTATTCCATTTGGATAAATATAATATTGCATTTATGTCCTTTGGACTAATATTTTTGTCATGCAAGCCTACAGTTTTTAAGCTATGTCTTTTCTGTTAAAGCTTGAGAGCTCTCTTTCTGTGGTATTTCTGTAAAATATTTCACAATATTAACACAAATTGGAACAAAGTAAGCACTCAACTATCACTGCTTGCCATGGGGACTGCAAACCATTTGTTAACCATTCAGAAACAACAAATCACAAGAGCTGTGAGCCTGACATTGTCTCCGTAGAAGCAGCAAAAGGTATTCAAAAATCTAACTGTATAAATCCCCATTTTTAAATGCTACTCTAGCATCAGGTATGGAACCTCCACAATCTTACAACATAAAGAGAGAGCTTGACACAGACTGGGAAATGGAAGATATATTTAGTCCTGATTTTACAAATCAGAATGGAGGAAAAAGAACACACAGATTTTTAAAGGACTAGGGTCTATATATACAGGTAGACATTTCTCTGCCTAACCCCATTCCAATCTAAGAACATTTTGTTCTGTTGTGAATCTTTAAGCACCTAAATATCTGATGTGGGTGACTTGTCCAAGGTCGTTCAAGAAGTCTGTGACAGAACCTATCTACCATAGGTGCTGAAAATCAGTGAGAATGTTCTGTGCTACTTGGTACTCAGCAGTAAGTCTTTGCAGCAATTAGGACCTTATAACAAATAAAATTCTAACAGTTCAAATACTGGAAAATATTTATGAAAGAATAAAACTGATCACTAGTAAGGATCACTATTAGCAAGCTGTTAAAAACGGATGAGCCATCTCAAGATGTATCTTACTGGAACTATACTCTAGGTTATGTTGCTCACAGCAGCTCACGTTTTGAATTTCTTTAAGGTTGTCTGGCCGAGTGGGACTATGTACTAATAGCACATCTGTTGTGGAGGATTGGATGCAATTAAGGATTTAATATTACCCAGTGAATGAACACTTTATTTTATGTGGCCATTTTTTGCAAATCAAGGTGAAATATGCTTTTGCTAAAAAACATATCACCAGAATATAGTCTCAGATAAAATCTGTGATACTGGAATATAGAATATGGAGATGTTTTAAGATAATGTCACTGTTAAAGATAATTAAGATGGTAAACTGGCATTCTTTTAGGATTGAAAGACAAAAAAAAAAAGTCAAAATAGGAATCTCTGCTTCTGCTGTCTGTTATCAGAGATACAAAATTGGCTATAAACATGCAAACCTTAAATACTAAAAAATATTGCATAGCTACGTATAGGCTAATGTATGTCTCATGGGGTAGGCTTATGAACCCTGGGTTTTGCTCTCCAACTCTTCCTAATTTTCTCAAAGACACTTTGTGAGTGTAGAGTTAGTATGTCCTTTGTATGATTTGTGTTCGTGATGATGATAGTTATTTTTATCTCTCCTCAAAGAAAAGGGAAGGTTTGCCATGATTCTCTAGAAAAAAATACACATCTAACATCTTTCAAGGCGAAAGTATGCCCACATGTCAGTACCTGATAATCCTCCAAATGCCACCAATTTTTTTCAAGGCAAATTAATGTAAAACCTTCAGGGAGTTACTGTATTAGAATATGATTTTTACAAAAGACATATAAACAATTTAAGCTGAGTGGTTCAGTATTAAACATTTTTTCCCCTGAGAATTAACGAGCTAATTGATCTGATGCATCTTAAAGCTTTGTAGAGTCTCCATTGACAGCATAAAAAATAAACCCATTAAAATAGGATGCTGAATATTGTTATGAGTAGGCAAAAATGCAATGCATAAGAAAATTAAAAATTAAGAAAATGCAAAACTGTGCCCATGAGTTATTTATTTCTCTATGACGAGTTCCCAGTGTAGAAAATATTTACAGGTACACAGATGTCAGTTTTCAGTTTATTACAAATAACACTGATTTTTAGACAGAAAAGCAAATATTTATTGACCTAGTGAAATATAATCAGTCAGATAGTCGAGTGGCTTTAGAATTGGTCTTAACTGATGTTTATGTAATTAAATTATAGATCTGGATTCTTTCTGTCTGTGGACTGACAAGTTGCCCATTGTCAAGCTGAAATTACTTGCTAAGGACAAGATAAATGACAATTTTATGTTTTAATTTTACCCCTGGCTAAGCTGAGGTAGATTTAGCTATTGCTAGCTAAAAATTGGAAAAGATACTGCTTTAATGGAAATTGTGAAAACATTAGGGGTATACCAGGTTGTAATAAAAATGGCCAAAGAATCTAAGGAAATAATTTTAGCTAGAGGTGCATGGATTTTCTGGGTTGCTTTTCACTTAGAAATCTGTTGATGATATGCAGACTGAATGAGTTTTATACAAAACATAAACAAATAAAACCAAACTCACAGGTATTAGAAACTGCACAAAATACTGATTTCCATTTGATCACTGTGTAGGCTTATCTTGCTAGCAGGTGTAATCTGAGTGGGTGAAATACGTGCAATGTTTTGCATCGTGTTGTGTGGCATTCTGTTAGCAAGAATGACAGCTGAAAATGACAGCTTTCAATAACACTGGCTATCACAGCTCATTATCACCTGGTTAACAACAGTAAACTCACCTTAAAAATTCTCCAAGCATCAATAATGATTTTTGTCTTACGTGTATCTGCTTATGTGTATCTGATGTTGCTACTGCTAGGCACCCTTCAGGTCATGGTGACTCCAGTGGACATCCTGCTGCTCAGTAGTTTGCGTCTGAATCCCATATGTCCTACTATTTTTTAGAGTGTCTTCATCTGGCTACTTTCATCTCTCTAACTTACATGTAATCACTGGATAGCATTTATTACATGTTTCATCCGCAAAAAATGTGACTCCTTGGTGCCAAATGCTAGACTTAACTGTAGAGGTTAAGGGGTACTGTCCTTGTTTTCACCAGCCAGTGCAGCATATGTATTCCCAAATTGTATAATATGTTTGTGGCTGCACAGCTGTACATCTTCTCCATTTATATCAGGACAGTGTTTATTCCCAGTCACAGTCCTTTCTGTTTGCTCTCTAGCCCTAGCTGAAGGATTATGCTATTAGTTTTGGATCCCAGTGCAGTCCTTGTTATTGGCAAAGTGGCAGCCTCTCTGTGCCCAGGTTTTTAATGCTCTGGCTCACATTCTAAAGCTGAGAGCATAGTATTCTTTTTCTCGTTTTCAGTTTATGCTAGCAGGCACTCAAGAATTACAATATCTGAGTCTCCATTTACATATCTGGCTCTAGATTTTTTTCCATGTCTTTCAAACATCTAGATTTCTAGTCTATTAATGGCAAACACGTATTTTGTAAATAGCTTTTTATTTTTAGCTATTTCACTTGATATGTAGGAACACACATAATGAGCGACGGTACTTGCCAGTAAAACCCCCAATTTTCCTATGAGTACCAAAATTATCACATGTAATTCTTCTTGTTTTCACCATAGTGAAGTTATCTTGAGTTACTACACTTTAATAACCTATACTGACACTACTGTAACTTGAATGAGGGATGGGCAGGGCCTCTGTGAAACAAACTGTTCTGTGATGGGTTGCCAGAACAGTTGATTAAATAATGGCGCAACTGTATTTAATGGCTGCTGAATTTTACTAAGTCAATTTTATGGACAGATATTGCATTACTAGCTCAAATATTAACAGTTCCTCAGTTCTCTGACACCTAGCTAGCACTATTCAGGTTGATCTTGGAGATTTTTGAGACTGAAGCACTGAAGCTGAAATCACTGAATAATGGTACATTGATGTCTTATATGATTTTGCCTATTAATGCACTTCCTGATATGTTAACAAGATATTCTCTCAGTGGTTCATGTTTAAAATACACAACTCATTGCCTGAAATGTCTAAGCAATCTAAAACTGGCATAAAGTTTAAGGAAAGGGGTGTCAGTTTTTTTTCATGTACCCTTTAATAATATGTCAACGTCTTAAAGCTGTGCCCTTTGCTACTCTTTGGCAATAGCATATATCATCATCAAAGTAATACTTCATTCATAATTCCTCTGCTTTTATTAAAAAAAAAAAAAGCGTGCACATAGAAATCTGTTTCTTGTTTTAGAAATTAAGCTTCATATGCCCCAATATACTCCTTGAAGCATCTTAGAACATTTGAAGAAAATCAATCATTTCTGTATCACAGTCTGTTTAGGCCTCACTGCACTTTTGTGTATGTCTAGTATGCAAGTGTCTATGCAGCCATTACATTAATGTTACTGGAAGTAATATATCAAGATAGAAAAGACTGTATCAATATTTCTTTGAATATACTTCCATAGCCAAGTACAAGAGCTGCGGCTTCCTCACTAGCTTTCCAGTAGTACAAGATGTGCATAAACTAAAAGTTAGAAAATCGTTATATGTTTTTTTTCTTACTGGATGAGAATTTGAAAAAATGATTATAACTTTCACATAAAACCTATGCATGGAAAAGAAAATAATTGCAATAATAAACCAAAGCAGTCTGTTAACTATTCAGAATGTCAATCAGATGATCAGGAACTCAGACAATCTTCTAATCCTGTCATTTTTTAGAATGCTCCTAGTTCAAGAATCTTAAAGGACAACCTACTCAGAAATATTGTAAGGGGATATAATGTACTTGAAACCAGCTGATGCGCAGCCAAAGATTTTCCCTAAACACAAGCAAATATTTTGCAAATACATCTCACAAGAAAACCCTTTGGCTCAGGAACAAAATGTATTATTAGCCCATAAACAAAAAGTTGCAAAGCATGTTTGAAGTATTGTCAA